ACATATGGGGCCCATTTTGATAAACCGCATGGGTCAGACATGGGCAAACACAAACAGTCCCATATAGGCTGCCTACATGGGCCCAAGGTAGTTCCCTCATAGGTAATCTCTATATGGGTTCTGAATGGGAAAAATATATGGGGCCCATTTTGATAACCCGCATGGGTCAGACATGGGCAAACACAAACAGTCCCATATAGGCTGCCTACATGGCCCAAGGTAGTTCCCTCATAGGTAATCTCTATATGGGTTCTGAATGGGGAAAAACATATGGGGCCCACTTTGATAAACCGCATGGGTCAGACATGGGCAAACACAAACAGTCCCATATAGGCTGCCTACATGGGCCCAAGGTAGTTCCCTCATAGGTAATCTCTATATGGGTTCTGAATGGAAAAACATATGGGGCCCACTTTGATAAACCGCATGGGTCAGACATGGGCAAACACAAACAGTCCCATTATAGGCTGCCTACATGGGCCCAAGGTAGTTCCCTCATAGGTAATCTCTATATGGGTTCTGAATGGAAAAACATATGGGGCCCATTTTGATAAACCGCATGGGTCAGACATGGGCAAACACAAACAGTCCCATTTAGGCTGCCTACATGGGCCCAAGGTAGTTCCCTCATAGGTAATCTCTATATGGGTTCTGAATGGGAAAAATATATGGGGCCCATTTTGATAAACCGCATGGGTCAGACATGGGCAAACACAAACAGTCCCATATAGGCTGCCTACATGGGCCCAAGGTAGTTCCCTCATAGGTAATCTCTATATGGGTTCTGAATGTGAAAAATATATGGGGCCCATTTTGATAAACCGCATGGGTCAGATATGGGCAAACACAAACAGTCCCATATAGGCTGCCTACATGGGCCCAAGGTAGTTCCCTCATAAGTAATCTCTATATGGGTTCTGAATGTGAAAAATATATGGGGCCCATTTTGATAAACCGCATGGGTCAGATATGGGCAAACACAAACAGTCCCATATAGGCTGCCTACATGGGCCCAAGGTAGTTCCCTCATAGGTAATCTCTATATGGGTTCTGAATGTGAAAAATATATGGGGCCCATTTTGATAAACCGCATGGGTCAGATATGGGCAAACACAAGCAGTCCCATATAGGCTGCCTACATGGGCCCAAGGTAGTTCCCTCATAGGTAATCTCTATATGGGTTCTGAATGTGAAAAATATATGGGGCCCATTTTGATAAACCGCATGGGTCAGATATGGGCAAACACAAGCAGTCCCATATAGGCTGCCTACATGGGCCCAAGGTAGTTCCCTCATAGGTAATCTCTATATGGGTTCTGAATGTGAAAAATATATGGGGCCCATTTTGATAAACCGCATGGGTCAGACATGGGCAAACACAAGCAGTCCCATATAGGCTGCCTACATGGGCCCAAGGTAGTTCCCTCATAGGTAATCTCTATATGGGTTCTGAATGTGAAAAATATATGGGCCCATTTTGATAAACCGCATGGGTCAGATATGGGCAAACACAAGCAGTCCCATATAGGCTGCCTACATGGGCCCAAGGTAGTTCCCTCATAAGTAATCTCTATATGGGTTCTGAATGTGAAAAATATATGGGGCCCATTTTGATAAACCGCATGGGTCAGATATGGGCAAACACAAGCAGTCCCATATAGGCTGCCTACATGGGCCCAAGGTAGTTCCCTCATAGGTAATCTCTATATGGGTTCTGAATGTGAAAAATATATGGGGCCCATTTTGATAAACCGCATGGGTCAGATATGGGCAAACACAAGCAGTCCCATATAGGCTGCCTACATGGGCCCAAGGTAGTTCCCTCATAGGTAATCTCTATATGGGTTCTGAATGTGAAAAATATATGGGGCCCATTTTGATAAACCGCATGGGTCAGACATGGGCAAACACAAAGCAGTCCCATATAGGCTGCCTACATGGGCCCAAGGTAGTTCCCTCATAAGTAATCTCTATATGGGTTCTGAATGTGAAAAAATATATGGGCCCATTTTGATAAACCGCATGGGTCAGACATGGGCAAACACAAACAGTCCCATATAGGCTGCCTACATGGGCCCAAGGTAGTTCCCTCATAGGTAATCTCTATATGGGTTCTGAATGTGAAAAATATATGGGGCCCATTTTGATAAACCGCATGGGTCAGATATGGGCAAACACAACAGTCCTATATAGGCTGCCTACATGGGCCCAAGGTAGTTCCCTCATAGGTAATCTCTATATGGGTTCTGAATGTGAAAAATATATGGGGCCCACTTTGATAAACCGCATGGGTCAGACATGGGCAAACACAAACAGTCCCATTAAAGGCTGCCTACATGGGCCCAAGGTAGTTCCCTCATAGGTAATCTCTATATGGGTTCTGAATGTGAAAAATATATGGGGCCCATTTTGATAAACCGCATGGGTCAGACATGGGCAAACACAAACAGTCCCATTTAGGCTGCCTACATGGGCCCAAGGTAGTTCCCTCATAGGTAATCTCTATATGGGTTCTGAATGTGAAAAATATATGGGGCCCATTTTGATAAACCGCATGGGTCAGACATGGGCAAACACAAACAGTCCCATATAGGCTGCCTACATGGGCCCAAAGTAGTTTCCACATAAGTAATCTCTATATGGATCCTTAATGCGGAAATATATACAAGTATAATTGTGAATATAATGAACTATGGAATAAATATAAATTGTGCATCTGTAAATGACTTCATAAACTATACACTTGTAAAAAAACATATCTGTGCAATCATTAAAACATTTATATACAGTATATTTATGATTTACAGTATAATCCTTGTTAAAATAACTAACAGTTGACCATATTTAGTAGTGAGGAAATTTCACAAATGGACTTATTCCACAGGTGGAAACCTATCATGGTACCACGCTTGAATTCACTGAGCTCCTGAAAGCAACCTATGTTTTTACACATGTTTGTAGAAGCACCTGCATACCTAGGTGCTTGATTTTATACAACTGTGGCCATGGAAGTGATTGAAACACCCCCATTCAATAACTTGGATGGGTGTCCCAATACTGTTGGCAATAGTATTGGATGTGGATACAGTATAGGCCACGGCTCTTCAAATCCAGTCCTGGAGTGTTGGCGTTCAGCAGATATTAGTTCCAACCCTAATCATTGACACTAAATATTCAAAGTGTCAACTTTTAGTGGTTTAATTTTGTTACTGCAAACTTCTGAGTTACTGCAATATGCTTATCTCAATATAGTTATACAAATGGTTCAAAATATCCCGAAAATGGTCACTGTACAATATGAAGAACGGGTTACAGAAGCTACTTATCTATCAAAATATTCTAATGACTTGAGATGGCTAGAATAAATCAAACCCCTAGCATCAGCCAAATGCCCTTATTCAATGGAAATACTCAAGAGTTTTCTGGTCAGTCAGTTAGTGACAATGTAATTCTAGAGATTTTAAATATTGGGGTTAGGGTTAGGGTTTTGATTATTGAAAGAGACTCAGTCCAGATGATGAAATAGCCCAAGTAAAAAAAGTTAGAATGCAACATGCAGTGTTTGAAGGGAAAATCAAAACTAAATTCAAAAATCACATTTGCAGCGAGTACAGAATGCACACAATGTACACAATGTAACATTTTAATGCTAAACAGTTGAATTTTTTTATCTGTTTGTTGAATCAATGTCATGTCTTCAAGAAATCCATAACATTTAAATTATTATTATTTCTAATTATTAATTTCTAATTATTATTGTAGCATTTTATGATATTTTGATCAAAACACCACTTCAAAAATATAAATTTGTGTTGAAATAGAATCAGTATATTATTAACAATAATAAAAATAATGGATATAATTTCAATCTCAACAAGTGCAGAATAAACTTTTTTTGCTTTGTGCGATTTTGTTTGGGGTTTACAATTTTGTGTGTGTGCCTAAAGTTTAGCTTGCAGGATTACATTTTTATTCACACACTTTCATAAAAACAGTAATCAAATAATATAGCCTACAAATTAAATTAAACACGGATTTCTTAAAAAAAAAAAAAATCATTACCACTTTTTTTTTTTTTTTTTTTAATCATTACCACTGAAACAATAGAGTGCCGAAGTGATGACGTCACTTTGTAGGACAACCCGGAAGCTAGCGGCGCATGGGTTCCCTCGGTAAAAAAGCAATTTTCCCCACAGACTTTTGGAAAATCGCAAAAAATAAGATCTGTGTTTAACAGAGGGTTGTGACCCTTACACGTTTTGTCTAGCAAGATAATCTTTACAAGTTAATCCAAAATTTATATACATTTTGAAGCATATATAAAGATTTTAAAAAACACAATCAGACACAATAAAGTTTAAAAAAAACACACGCAGGTTATAATTGTGTGTTCTATGTCATAGATCAAAACGTGAAAATATTTAGAGGCTCTGTTCACCAGAGAAGTTATTTCAGGAGATTTAGCAAAAACCCATTCAAAAAACCCATAGGCTTTAGAGCGAGGGAACTCTAATGCTAAAATGCAAATTCACTTCTTCGTTTTGGCCTACAGAGTGACGTCGTAACTTCGGTTGTTTCACCTTCTTTGATCATGATTGGTTAATCTGACTGTCATCTATGTAACTGGCCAATGACAACTGTGCGCGCCTTTTTACTGGTCAAGTTTGAAAAATCAAATACATTTGAGTTGATGACGACGGCTGCTCAGCAAGATTACTCGGTCTTTCAATTATTATTTTGAACTAATTTGCGATGTGACATGTAAACGAAGGAGAACAGAAGATGTGAACACACAGAAGACGCTCAGACTGGATGCGTGAGATCCTGCAATATTGGCGATCAGGTAAGAGAACATTTTTCTGTCTCCACTATCATTTTAGAAAAACTGAGATCCACTAATATAAACGTTTAGGTATTACATTCAAATAAGTGGATGAGAGTGTTAATATAGTTCATGGTTGAATATTTAATGCAGATTTAAACAAAACGTATGTGAATGGAGTTCATTAACTACCCAGAAATGTTCTGTGTAACTTAACGTTAACGTTACATACGAGAGTTTTATAAACGGATAACGGACGTAGGCTAAGTTACCTGCAGTTGTGTTTGTAACGTTAACATAACGGGTAGCTAACCATATTTATCTGAAAGCAACGTTAGTGCTTCTGAGTAAGTGTATTTGATTGTGCTAAAGTGGAACTATTGCAAATATACTTTTGGTACACTTAATAGTGGTAACGTTATTACTTTATTTTTTTGTCGTAATATATATATATATATATATATATATATATATATATGTATATATATAAAATGTTCATTGTGTAATAAAGTCTTCTTAGGTGATGTGTCAATAATTATGTTAATGAAATTGAAGTATAATTAGTATGAAATGTGTTCTAATATATTCTGGTAGAAGTTATTTATTTATTTACTAGGGAAGTAGAATCCAAATGAGTAAAGTGACTGATATATTGTGAAAAGCGCTATATAAATATGATTTGACTGATAAAACGGTCATTTACTCTCTGAAACACTGGAATCTACAGAAGAGATGAGAAATGTTATTGGTCTAACGTTAAATCTCTTATATTTTAGTAGATGCCCGTTTCTAAATATTTTGACATCACCTCTTAAAAAACTGATAACTGCTAATGATAAGAGATTTGTTTATTTTTTTATTATTTTTATATATCAAGCACTGGAAGAAGATTTTTGGGGGGAGAGCAGGCACCCAACAGAGAGACAAATCCACCACGGCATGATTATCAACTTCATTATGTAAGTCAGTTTTAACCATTGCTTCTAAACCTTACATTGGGATTAATATATTATGTTGTCAAAAGTATTATACTCATCATCAAAAGTCATATCCTCTACCAGTGACAAATCTGTAACTAATTATCTTTATGTCTTTCTTCCTCTAAAGTGACAGAGAAAGGAGAACATGTCACCATCATGAGCCCTTTATTTAGTTCACGGAAGAACATCAAGGGAAAGACCCTCAGACGTGTCATAACAGGATAAATGTGGCTACAGGTAAAATTGTTTGATGGTTTGTTTGATTTTGGAGTAGCAATTTCTTTTTTTAAAGCTTCAATTGATGTGATGTGACATGTGTCCCCAAACTCGGAATTTGTGCTCTTCATTTCATCCATTCAAGTGCACACACACACACACACACAGCAGTGAGTATTAAACACACACAGTGGAGACCGGGGAGCTATTGGGCTATTTTTCATGTTCTCTGAATGTTTTATAATGGCAAATGTTGGTACGATATTGATACGTTTTGTTTTAATATTGTTAAGGACGCATCACCCCACCCCATCCCAGATTGACCAAGGATTCAGATGAGTACTGGCAATTTGGTGGAGGATTGCTCTTTATCTACTACATTGTACTGTCACTTCCGGTATGGATTTATTAACCTTGTTGAGGTGTTTTGATTGTACTTAATTTAATAAATTTTTCAAAATTAGATTTTACATAATTTAATTAGAGTATTTAGCCCATGATTTACTCACCCTCAAGCCATCCTTTGGTGTATATTAGCCCACGTTCTTCTTTCAGACAAATACAATCAGAATTTTATTAATAAACACCCTGATGCTTCCAAGTTTCGTAATGGCAGTGGATTGCAACTATTAGTTTAAAAAAGCTCAAAAAAGTGCATCCATCTATCATAAACTCCACACGGCTCCAGGGGGGTTAATAAAGGCCTTCTGAAGCAAAAATTTTGTTTGAAAAATATCCATATTTAAACTTTTTAAAGTAAAACAACTAGCTTCCAACTAAATGGCCATAAGCAGCCTACTTGCAAACTTATGCAATTGACCTGTGGCTAAGCCACGCCCCCTCCACTCACTTGGACAAACAGTCAACATTCGGGGACAGGCGCTATGGCAGACATTTTACAGGAGGCAATTGGTGATTTTTGGAGACAGAAATATTATATATCATCTCAAAGTCACCTTAAGGGCCTTAACTATGCATTGGAGGGTTATATTAATAATTTTATTGTTGAGAAGGTCGATGAAAAGCTTCAGCTCCAGGCAAAAATGTAATTTACTGGTCACAATGTAAACGTGATATACCGCATATCGTTGCCATCACCGTTTGGTGCTACAGTATTTACATGAATCATTCAGCACAACATTGTTAACATTTGTTATCTCGGTTATTTACAGATACGTTAATTAAGCTAAGTGACATGATGTACAAAGCAGCTAGAAGGCTAACTTTAGTTGTTGTTGTGGTCTACCGCGGCGCATGACTTAATCGCATAACTTAATCCAGAGCAGAAACTTATCTCTGTTGAGAAGTGGCTTGGGAAAGGGTAAAGAAATACACACTGTCGCCCAGTCTCTCGGGAACCTAGTGTCGGAGTTGTATGTACCCCATGCACACCGTTTGACCATTTTAAACTTAAAATGACAAAAAAACCTAATGAAAACTGACTAACTGCAATGCATTTCAATGGACGTGGAAGCAGAGAATGTCCGAGTGTATTAGGTTAGGTGCGCACTGCTCATCGTGTTTGACTGAATGGCTTAGCCATAGGTCAATTTGTGACGTCAGAAGTAGCGTAGTGCATAATGGTGTAGAGTAAATATCAACTTAAAACCACATAAGTTGCACTTTACACTTAAGTGCAATCTGTATGTTCGCTTGGCCGGAAGCTGGTTATTTTATTTAATAAAGTTTTAAATATGAATATTTGATAATGCTTTAGATTACAGCCTGGAAAGTACTGCGTAATTAAAGCGATTTAACAGCGTAACCTTTGGTAATTATAGTGTACCTATAACATACTTACAATATAAGTATAAAGGAACAATATATTAAGTTTGGGGAATAAGGAGGTAACAACCAGGAGAATTAAACAATTATTTATACTGTAAGTATTAAAGGACTAAAGGGTGTTTATCCTACTATTATGATAACAATCTTACATTTGGAAGCAATTTCACCAGAAAATTGTACACTGCGTACCTTTTTGAAATAAAGGTCAACCAATACCTACTCTAAAATTACAGGCTTTTAAAAAAAATTACGGGGTACATATGCATTTATAAAGTCATCTTTTTTACATAAGTGCACTGAAACAAAAACTATTGCAACTTTTGCTTAAATATTGGGGAAAGATACACTTGTTTCATGTGGTGGTGCTTGTTACCCCCTTGTTCCATGTAGTTACAGGGTAAGTACAATAAAAATACATACACAGTTTTATATCACTGACTTGGAAACCTTTATTTATTATACAAGCACCACTTACCCTGTAACCACATCAAACAAAATATATGTCCCAGTATTTAAAAAAAATTGCAATAGTCTTAGCTTTTCTTGCCTTGAAACATGTTAGCCAAAACTTAAACATCTCCACTTTTGCTATAATTTTTTTAAAAAATATTAAAGAATTGTATAAATGCCTATATATGTACCCTGTCCTTTAAAAAAAGCCTATACAGTATTGATACACAATTTTTACAAAAAGGTTTGCAGTGTATGTACTCGCTAAATTGCTCCCAAATGTAAGACTGTTGTATCATAATAGTAGAATAAGTAACCCTTATTTCTATAATACTTACAGTATAAATATATATTTTTAATTCTCCTGGTTGTTACCCCATTATTCCCAAAACTTTACCCATATACTTACATGCAAGTCCTTTATAGGTACACTATAATTGCAGAAAGTTACACTGTAAATTCCTCTTAATTACATAGTACATTCCGGGCTGTAATCTAAAGCGTTACCGAATATTTTTCTTACACAAACTCATGGCTTTGCTTCAGAAGGCGTTTAATAACCCCCTCCCACTGTATATGCGCTCTTTTGACTCTGTTGATGCCTTCAAATGCAGACTAAAGTCTCATTTATTTGTTCAGGCTTTTAATTAGGTACCTGTGTTACATGATATGGTCATGTACTGTCTATGCTTTTATTGTGTGTATTTTATGATATTAATGTTTTTGTTGTAAGGCACTTTGTTGCCTTGTACCTGTGAAAGGTGCTATATAAATAAACTTTTACTTACTTACTTAGTTAACCTAACCCTAATATCTGGCCGATTGATCGGAGCATTCCTAATTTTACTTTAAAAGTAATCATAAATCATTATACTTATTATGCATACTTTATAAACTGTTTTTTATTGATTTCCTGAATGCCCTTCCAGTGACATTCCAAAACCGTCACCATTCCTATATAACTTTTTTGCTGTTTTTTTTTTTTTATCCTGAGTAGAAATTGTTATTCTGTCATAAGGTATTGTGACGTGTAAGTAACATGATTTTTCTAAAATCAAAATCCCTAAAAAAAAAAAAATGTTTTGCAGAGGCTCTTAGGAAGACAACACAGATCAACTGGCAAGGAACTGAGAGGGAACTCTCAAAATAGTTCAGGACAAGAGATGGAGGAGGAGAGTGTCTAGATGCGCAAATGACTGTCTGCAGTGTAAGCTGTACTGATAAATGTACTGTATAGTTGCTGCTTCTTCTAACTGTCACCAATTTATATCCTGTTCAAATGTTCAGTAAAGACTGGGTCAAATACAGGTTCAAAATATGTATTTTAACAAATAGGTATTAAATAGATACTCTTTAATCTGACATAAATCTGCTTCTTTAAATATTGTCCCTGGAATTTCAGAATATAGCATAATATGATGATGAGTAATTTTAATAAAATTGAAAATATTTCAATATCACTGTGTGCTCTAATGCTTTAAAACTTGTTTGTGTGGTGTTGCTACTCATTTAGATGGAGCCCAGATGATCCCTAATTGGGCCACATGCATATGATTCCTAGTTGGGCCCCACCTAAAGCCCTGTGAAATCCTGTATAAAAGAAATCCTGAATCCTGAAATCCAGCAAGTTGCTGGGGCCAGCATGGAACCTATGGACAAACCCACTTAAAGCCCATATTTCAGCCCATATAGTAACCTTGTAGTACCCACAAAAAACTAAAGCTGGGACCAAGATAGGTCTTGTGCATGTGGCCTAGTTGGGGCCCACCTGTTTATAAGTGCGATCCTACATGAAACCCACCTGGGCGATTTACATGGCACCATTATGGAACCCACGGACAATCCCATACAGAGCCCACTTTTCATTTCAAAGCCACATGGGACCCACATACAAATGTCGGCTGGGTTAAAGCTGGGCCCGAGATGGGTCTTGTGCATGTTGCCCACTTGGGTCCGGCCTAGTACCAAGTGTAATCCTACATAAAATTCATCTGGGCAATTTACATAGGGCCATTATGTAACCCGTGGACAATCCCAATCAAAGCCCGTTTTTTAGCCCATTTCAAACCCACATGGGCCCCACATATAAATATCGGCTGGGTTAAAGCTGGGACCGAGATGGGTCTTGTGCATGTTGCCCACTTGGGTCCGGCCTAGTACCAAGTGCAATCCTACATGAAATTCATCTGGGCAATTAACATGGGGCCATTATGTAACCCGCGGACAATCCCAATCAAAGCCCATTTTTCAGCCCATTTCAAACCCACATGGGCCCCACATATAAATATCGGCTGGGTTAAAGCTGGGACCAAGATGGGTCTTGTGCATGTTGCCCACTTGGGTGCGGCCTAGTACCAAGTGCAATCCTACATGAAATTCATCTGGGCAATTAACATGGGGCCATTATGTAACCCGCGGACAATCCCAATCAAAGCCCATTTTTCAGCCCATTTCAAACCCACATGGGCCCCACATATAA